GCTCCCGGCCTCTGCATAGTCCTGGCTCCTTCTCGTTCTCTTTCACAAAAACCATCACACATGCTTCTGTTCACAAATCTGTGCTTTTCTTCTGGAATAAAATTGGAGAGATGCTGGGTTGAGAGGAACTGGGAGCATTCAGGATAATATTCATCTGGGCTACAAGGGCAAAAGAGGCTCCAAAGGTTCCAGAAATGTCAGTATTTGAAGAAACTTGCCCCTTGAGTAAAAAAACTGGGTGGCAAATGGCGGTCCTGTAAAGCCAGTGAACCCTGGTTCCATTTGGGACGAGGCCCCCGTAATCAACTGCGATGATTGTTGCCACTGTAACACATGCCAACAGATGTGTGCCCTGTGCCTGTTTCAGTGACTGAAGGTCATGACAAAGGCAATGCCAACTACAGCTCTCAGTAGACAACAGAGGAATAGAGGCTGAGAAATGGATGGTGCCTAGACTTCCGTGCCTCGTTCTGTAGAAAACAGCCCTCTGCTTCGCAAACAATGGTGGGCACAAGAAGCGCCCGGAAATGGGTTAAAAAGGCAGGTTCCGGGGCCCTTTCACCATCTATTCTGATACTGTTACCCGGCGTGGTTTAGATGATTGTAGCCGGGAACACATTGGCCAACAGCAGTAAAGGAAGATTTCTCAGAGGCCATTTACATCAGAGGACAAATGACTGAAACCGTTGTTTCTGCAGCAGTGGGATTTGGGCAACTTGGTGGCAGAGATTGACACTTTCTTATGTCAATCTTAAGGCAAAACTTAAGGCAAAACACAGCAATTAGTTCTAGGGGGAGGGATGAGTGAATAAAAAATTTTTTAATAGATAGTAGCCTAAAGACGGTAATAGTCATTAGTTAGATTTTTTCTTTAAATTAGATTGAAAACAAAAATATAAACAGAAATTAATCTGTTTTGCTAGTCAATTATAGAATAGGTTAATGATTTTAGTTACTTTATATTCAAGTGCTTGAGCTGTGTTTTCTGTGGGATCTTCTTACATTATAATGTTGCATGTTTACGACTAAAACTTAGGAAAACGCCTCGACTCGGCCAGTCCTAACTTGTACCCATTTTTTTTTAATAGTTAGACATTTATACCCCTCACAAAGTGATAACCCCCCCCCCATCTAATACCCCTCTGACATCGTCTATAGCTGTTACAATTCCATTGACTCTGTTCTGTATGCTGTACTCCACATCCTGTGGCTATGTATATATTAAATTATAGTTGACATTCAGTATTATTCAGCTTCAGCTTCAGGTGTACAGCGTAGTGATGAGGCATCTACACCATCCATAAAGTGGTCTTCCCTAATAAGACAAGTGTCCATCTGACACCCTACCAAACCTTTACAACATTATTGATTATATTCTCCGAACTGTCTTTTTATCCCTGTGGCAATCTTGTGGTGTTCTCATTTTCAACAGCTCTTCATTGTGAAATTTCCAACTCTTCCAGTTATAACTCTGTGTGTGTGTGTGTGTGTGTGTGTGTGTGTGTGTGTTGAGGTGTATATGCACCCCAAGTGTTTGCTAAGCCCAAATAATAAGTTGTTTTAGTGGAAACTTTAATCATCCTTATTATTTGTATTAGAACATAATAAATGTGGATACTATAGTTAGAGAGATGTTCTGAATAAATCAAAGATGAATAGCATCCTTAGTTTTTCTTTTTGTCCTGGCCATGGAATCCATGAGCTTTTCTTCCCTCTGCCACACTCCCCAGCAATGTCCCTATTTTTCTGCAAGCAGCCCACACACTCTGTTTACATACCCAATGATCATGTGATGGAACCTCGGGGCACAAACCAAAAGAATTGGCTTCTCAGATAGGTAATGGGGAGGTAGATAGGTGACAGACAGGAGAGAGACAGATAAAGTCAGCGACTCTGTGTCTGTTCACAAGATATTTCATTTTTTGGTGTTTATATTTGTTCATTACAATTTAAAGGTCCGGGCATATTGCTCTGATGTAAGCAATATGTAAACGTCCCCTGTAAGATCTCTGCTGCTTCTTTCTCTACCCTGTGAAGAGAGACCCAAATGTCGAGGCCGTTGTTTCTCAGTAGAAATCATAAATGATCTATTAGTGTTTTTATTCTGAACCCTGAATTTCACTTCCGTTCCTTTATGTCTTGTTCAGCTAGGTGTAGACAAAAATTCACAGCGGCTTTTGGGAAAAGGACTTTTTTCCTCAACAGAGAGAGTGTGACTGACAATTTCTCTTTTACATTTTCTTCTGGTGCTTTGGTGTAACAGAAACACTACCTGTGGTACCAGTTCTGTGGCATGCATGACGCTTCATTATCTCAGCTCTCTCTTCACCGTAACTGCTTTCGTTTTCCAAGTAGCTCATGTAAATAGGCTGATCCTGCTTTGCATAAGCATGTTGATTTCTATGAATGCTATTTCGAACTCAAATTGATTGAATACTAAAGAGAAACACTAGGAAAAAAGAGCACTATAAAATGAAGGTCTCCTGTGAAAGACAAAAGGCGCTAGATGCTACAGACACTCCCCGTTACTGATGGGGAATTTTCTACTGCCTAGTTCTTAGAAGCGGCTATTTCTAAAGAAATACAACAAAATACTATACTGTTGAGACTCAAGTGTTCTAAAAATACCATGGGTTAAGTTACATTTTGGGAATAGGACTCCACCCAGTAAAACTTCAGGAAGGCGCAAGGTTTAGTCTCACCCGATGACACCAACAGTAAAAAGCCTTAATAGTGTTTATGAGTCTATATCTACATCAAAAATGAAAGTGATATTAATGTCCGTAACCCTGGGCTGGAACTGTGCTAAGTACTTTCGATGAACGGTACTTATTTCATGTCCGCTCAACACTCCCATGCCTGTGCTCTTGCTCTCTTATTGGGGCTCTGTAATTAATTGACAACCTGCTGACTTCTTTTATCACACCTCGTTTCGCTTTCCTCATTTTTTTTTCGTCATCCATTGTGGCCCCCACTAAAATTCTGTGCGCCCTTGAGACACCAACCGAAGCCCTACTCTTGGCAAAGAATTTGGTGTGAACATGCGCACCTTGCTGTGCATCCATTTTGCAAGAACGTTTTCTTTTCAAATCATGTCACTCGTTGTATTAAAACATCTCCCCTACACCCAGAAAGCAGTAAAAGAGGTTGGTCTGGATCAGGTCAGGGAGCCCTGAAATCTGATCTCTTCAACAACCACCTGTATGTCCCCTCCCGACTGGAATACTGACCTTGGCCATTTCAGCGGGGACAGTAAAAGCGGCCGTGATGGTATTCTGACCTGGTCTCTGGTTTCCTTGAAGCCTGGCTCTCTCATTGCTGACTTCCTTTCTCCTCACCTCCTTGTGCCTCTCAGAATCGACCTCCATCACCTGAGACAACTGGACACATCTATCCATGCTCGCAAGTTAAGAGATTTTAACCCAGAATTGCAAATATTTGTCTACGGACCAGTTGTTTAATTTTCTTGATTCTGAGTGACTTGTACATACAGAATCAAATGCATGATTTATTGGAAAAAGCAATAAAAGTGGTCATGGGAGAATAGAATTCCACTTTCAGCTCTTGTACCTTCTGTCACCTTGAACAAGAGTGACATTTCCGGACCCTCAATTTCCCCACCTGTGAAAGGGGGCTGAACATACACTCTCCAATCACGCTTCAAGGTTGTGTGGTGAGGACTAAGTCAGCTAACGTGTGTTAAAGTGCTTTGTGAAGTGTGGCGTTTATACAGATGTGAGTAAGTGGTCATTATGCAAATAATGCAGAGGGTCTTGGAGCTCTACAAAGAGCAGGCTTTGCTCTGTAAATAGGTTACTCTCGGTTAAAAATGGGGCTTCTGGCAAAGCTGTCAGCAAGGGGCTGGGGATTTGCACTTGACGGCGATCCAAACGCAATTCCACGGCGATCCAAACGCAATTCCACGTCAGAAACTTTACGTTAACAAAGGAACCCACCTAATAGCTTTATGGAAACACTCACAGGAGCTGGCCTAAGCACCCCAAAAAATCTCTCTAATGTCTGTTCACTTGAAGATATTATTGATGTAAAAGCAAGACACATGAAACTAAGCTCTCACTGCAAAGTAGACTACAGTTTTGTGGGGTTTTTTCCCTAAATGTCTTATATTTTCAATGTTCTGCATGCTTTTTTAACACAGCACCCCTTGAATATGTGGACTAGAGAATCAAACATGTTTTTTGGATGTGTCTTTAAAGGCTCAGGGAAAGCTTTGATAGATAGATAGATAGATAGATAGACAGATAGACAGACAGGCAGGCAGGAGACACCAGATGAGAAAACAATGTCCTGTCGTTGGTCTTGCACAACATGAACGCTTAGTGAGGCACACCAGCACTCCTAAACACTCACACAGTCGTCTTGTATTGCCATTTAGATCTATCATTCTGATTGATCGCCGCGTAGTTGGCTGTTATTGGGCCTAATTTAACCCTATACGCTCACACATCCATCTACTCTGTCTATTGCACCTGACATCCTACAAATTACTTACTCATGCAAATGACGACCTAAGGCAACCTTTTAGGATATTCGTGTTTAATTATACAAATACTTCTTGATAAATAAGATTACACATCCTTCCATATGTGTGTATTCCCTCCTTGATGAAAGGAAAATCTAATTTTCATGCAGATGTGGCGGGGACGGTGTGGAAGAATTGCTGAGTTTTGTGTAGCCTGCAGACCCATCCAGCTTCCAGAAGCTGACAAAAGTCACACCGCTCCCCACCTAGAGGCGAGCAGTTGTTCATCAGGCTTACATCAGCTCGCTGCTTGCTGAAATTGGGGCTCCTAGGCGGCCCCCTCTGTGTTCACATGGGCACGGGCACAAGAGGAAGGACCCGCTGTCCTTTATGATGACAAAGTCGCAAGATCAAAGCGTGTCTCGCCATGTTGAGTCCAGTTGCTTTGAGGTGCCAACCTCATTTTGTGCCTGAGGCTACCTTGCTTCTGACTGGTCTCGCTGATCTCTCTTTGAAGGTCTGGGCGGTGAATTCAGCAGGTAAAGCTGCCAGTAGCTGGACCAGGTGTAGAACTGGGCCCGCCCCCCCGGAAGGGCTCAAGCCCCCCGAGTTCCATGCTGTCTCTTCCACCCAAGCAGTGGTCAACATCAGCACCCCTGGGACGCCCAATGGGATCATCAGCCTGTACAGGCTGTTCTCCAACACCACCAGCGGGGCGGAGGCGGTGGTGAGTAGCACAGCGCCCGGGCGGGTGGAGAACCTAGGACCGGTTTGTTTTTAAAGAATGACCCACGGTGCCCTGGCATTCTGTTTTCCTTGATCCTTCTTTCTAATGTATCTGGTCTTCACTGCCCTGTGGTGAACTTGGGAGCAGAGATCCCTCTGAGAAGCAGTGAGCTTTAGGACACGTGCGGAATATATGTAATACTTGAGGAGAGACGTGCTGAAGGTGGTATTAAAGACTCCACAAATGTTATAAGAACCTAAGACTTCAGAGACAGTCAAATCAAAGTGTTTACAAACTTCATGTTAGGCATTTAGTGTAGCAGCAGCGTATACGAGGGGACGACAAATGGCCATTGTCCGTGGTGTAAGTATTAATATGAAAAAAAGAAAAACAGAGCAAAGAAGTCCCGTTTTGGCATGCGCAGAGGTCCAGCAACACCCTAAAAACTCAGTCTCTTTTGCAGTGATTTCTAGAAAGTTGTGGCCCTTTGGAAGAGAGTAGAACAGCTCAGTCCACACAGCTGTAGTGTCGCTGTCTGTGTGTGAACACGGTTGGGACACGCCAGGGCGACAGGATGGACTTTTGCACCTTTCACATGTTGTTTTAGCCAATCCTTTGGCTAGAGGGACTCGGATAATCCACTAGGCCAGTCCTGGCATTATTTAAATGAGGAGTCTGCGAGCCCCAGGGGGTCTCTTTTCTCTTGGGGCACAGCTTGTGTCACTCTGTCTTTTCTCATGAATAGGTGTAGATCGTAATACGTTGTTCACACACACACCTCATGGAGAAATTGTACGGATCCCAGGCTGACATTGTAAATTATTTCGACCAATTTAAGGAATGATTTGGGCAAGTATGGAAAAAACCCTCTGGGACCAGAAGGCCAGGGACTGAGACAGAATTTCAAAAGTAACCGTAGGAACAGAGAGAGTCTCCTATTGAGTGTTAGAGGAATATTAGCATATTTTCTACAGGGCTTCGTATACAATAGATATAGATGATGTAAATACAAAATCAACCCTTGATTATCCATGCTTATGAAGTGATAGTATTAGTAAGCTAAAATAATTTATATTTGGACTACACCGTATGCATTTTATACATACATACATACAAAGTAACAGGAAGCTCTTCTTAGTTATACATCGCTTACGAGTGTCCAGTTTCTGAATGCTTCTGTTCAAAGATTACTTCATGAAACCACAATGAAGTAAAAAGTTTGCCACAAATGAGCTGAAAAGTTTTTAATGTAACCAAGATGATTGAGAGAAAGACTATGATATTTCATATAAACCAACAGAGACAAAGGTGGGACCATTGAGCTCTTAAATATACATACACTATAAAAATATATGAATATATAAAATAGACATTTCAACCTCTTAAATAACCAGCTCTAACATGGATTTGAGGGGACTTTCAACCCAAAAGTTACATGCAGGTAACAATGGCAAGTATGGACCTTAGTGAATGTTGATTAGGAGTATAGTTCAGATACAGATTTTATTTTTCAAAAGGGCATCGTTCTGAGGGTCACCAAGTTGATCAGTAATTTGTGTGTTTTGTACTATTTTCTAACATCTTTCTGTGGTAATAAGACACTATATACCTTGTGGTTTCTATCCTGTTACCTCAAACTTCTATCTGTTAAATGGTTGCATTGCTTCGTACATGTCAGTCATGCCTCTCCAATGGGTTGGTGACCTTGAGGGTAGACACTGAGTACCTTCCCCAGTGCATCTCCCCGGACTGCCTGGCGGGGCACTCTGTCTGTAGGAGGTGGCGAGCGCGGTGCCCTTATGCCAGCGGGCTGGGGTCTGCCGCGCGGCCTCACCCAGTCCTCTCTCCTGCAGCTGTCGGAAGGCAGGGCCACGCAGCAGACACTTCACGGCCTGCAGCCCTTCACTACCTACCTGGTCGGGGTGGAGGCCTGCACCTGCTTCAACTGCTGCAGGAAAGGGCCCACGGCAGAGCTCAGGACCCATCCGGCCCCACCCTCGGGACAGGGCTCTCCCCACATCCAGACGCTGGCGTCGAGGACAGCCTCCTTCCAGTGGAGTCCCCCGCTCTTTCCCAATGGTGTCATCCAAAGGTAACTGGCCAGGAGGAAGGACCAGTGACCCAGGCATGAGGCGCGACTGCAGCCACAGCGCCACCCAGCGCTCCCCTAGGGAGGCTTGCTCACCGAACAGGTGCCTTTAGCAATTAGATGCATACATTCATTCACGTGGTATTTGTTCCCTGCAAATTGTTTATATCATAACATCGACCCCTGATAGAAAGAAACACCACAGCATCGTCTTTAAATAAGAAAGACAATGTGATGTGTTTGTATTCATTGAATGAATGCCCTCCCCCCCCGTGGGTCTCTGAAATTATTCATTCTAGAGCCTAAACTTGCATGTATGAAAATTCTGTGGTTAAATCAGAATTTTGTTCATCTAATTTTTAAAATGCGTTGTGATGAACCACTGTTTGAAAGAACAAAGACATTATCGGACTCAAAATAATCGGGAGGAAAACAAGATAGTCTTTGTTTTCCACAGAGGAGAATAATTTTATCACTCTCTTACAAACAGAGACATCTCCCACCCACAAGGGTGACCAGTGCCTGCTCGTCCCCAGGTGTACGCACATGACACCTCTGACCGTTTCTCTGCTTATATCTGCTGCTCCTTTCCAATGGCACCCAATACAATATTCCTGAGAGGAGCTTCCCACAAATGGAGAATTTAAAGTGCTTGTAGTTAGTTCAATGAATACAAAATGCATCCTCACAAAATAGAAGCAGTTTTAAAAGAGTGAAACTAATCCCGTCACCCGCCCGTTTTCTCTCTCTGGTCCCTTCCCATCCTAGCTATGAGCTCCAACTTCTTAGGGCTTGCCCTCCACATGCAGACGCTCCCTGTGCCTCCAGCCAGCCGGAGACCAAGTACATGGGGCCGGGGACCCGAGCCAGCCTGGGGGGGCTGCAGCCTTACACCACCTACCGGCTCAGAGTGGTGGCTCACAACGAGGTGGGCAGCACAGCGTCTGAGTGGTTCAGCTTCACCACCCAACAGGAATGTGAGTACAAGGGCCACCATCAGCCAGAGAGCTTAGGGGGACAGCCGGGAGAGGCTTGTCATGAAAAGCAGGGAAAACCAGTTTTTTTATAAGTGAATGTTCCGTTTCATTGACTGCTACTGAGACATCAATGAAGATGACTGTTGGGGGGACATGCCTTTTGCATTTAATAGTATGGGGATTGAGGATGAATTTAGGAAGGGTTTTCATGTAGCAATGGGGCAAAACCCAATTTAGAGGCATGGATTCGGAAGGAAGAAAATGGACAAGCGTTTGAGGTGATATTTTTTAAAGATGTTTGTCACTCCTTTTCTTTTTAAATTGCATGATGTCATCTCTTGCATTTCCAGAAAGCATTGAGACACATGGCATTGTCACAGAAAGCAAAAGGGCAGTTGAGTGCAGAAAAGGGCAATGAAATAACTTTAGATTTTATAAGGTATGCATGTCTGTTGTAAAAAAAAAATGGCAAATACAAAAAGTATTAAGAATAAAACAAGTACTTATAATCAGAACCAGCTACATAATTTGGGGGTCCAGTGGAAAATGAGAATATGGGGCTCCTTGTTCCAAAATCATAACGAATTTCAAGACAGAGACAGCAGAGCGTCAGCTAAGTCCGGGCCCCTGCACAGGTGCTCCGGTCACACACCTGTGAGGTCCTGTTTGTAATCCCACCACCGAGAGGTGACCGCTGCTGCTATTTTGGCATAATCCATTCTTTAATCCCTTCCTGTGCATAATTTTTATTACATGGCTGAGATCATACTGTAATTAAAATTTCATAGTCTGCTTTTTATACTTGACATTGTTTTATTTGCATTTCTCATGGCATTGAAGAAAAAAAAACCTTTAGCCACCAAGTTTAACGGCTGTATAATACCGCATCCTATGAATTGGGAGGGCATTTCAGCTGTTTCTAATCTTTTCCTTTTATAAATGTGGTGAGAAATTTCTCTGTGAAAAAATCTTCATTTGAATGTCTGCTTATCTCCTTAAATTAAATTTCGACATGTGGAATTCATTGCCTAAACCGTTTTAACATTTTAAGGCTTTGAATACTTACTGCAAGTTTGCTTTCCAGAAACATCATATCAGACTCTGATCTCATCTCCAGTATGGCACTGGCATTTTTAAAAGTAGGAGTTAATGTGATCACGCAGACAATCCAGAAAACATTGTTTTGAGGATTACGTGCAATAAAGTTAAATACACTGGTAGGGGCATAGTCGCTGTGACCATTTTCTATCTCCAAATCCATTATTCCGCATTATTTTGATTGTTTGATCACCCATTTCCTTAGGAAGATCTCCAAACTCTGCAAGGCCAATTAAGCTCCTGTCTTTCTCTTTCCGTACTGTTTCCAAGCCTTCTCTTTATTTGTACTGTTAGGATGTAGAGAGAAGTGGAGATCTCTTGAATTAAGTGACAGAGGGAAACCACAGACAAATACAACAGTATGTTCCACTGTGATATTAGGCAAAACTTGTCTGGGAAAAACAGGTATTTCAATAGGGCTTGCTAGCATTTGTTTTAGTATTTATAGGAAAAAAAACTTCTTAGGGCTTTATGAAAAAGTCTCATTTTGAAAGATAAGGATCGAATTTGTTTTCATGGTTGAATCTTATAATCACAAAAACGTAATTATTCCTTATCTTATTATACCTCCTAACACCGGTGACAGATTTAAGTTTTAAAGAAAAAAAAGATATCCAATTTATTTCCACTACTCACTTCTTTCTTTCCTTAAAAGCCGATTTAGAATATAGATGGATCTTAACGCTGTTACAAACATATTATTTTGGAGGAAACGAGATGTCATAAAAATCTCTTCTGACTTGACAAGATGGGATGGGATTTCTTCGTTTGTTTCTACAAAAATTACTCATTTAAAAGATGAGCCTCTCTTAAGGATTCTTTTTCCTTTGTTTTAGAAAGGAGCTAAAATATGAAAAGAGAACATGCCTGTGAAATGCTGCCGCGTTGCTTCTCTATCTAATATAATACTTAGGAGACCTGAGCTCGGTTATATACTGAAGTGCCTTGCTATTGATTGATTAGCCAAGGCAGCGAATTAATTATACTCGAATTGGTATTTGTAAGGCTTTTTTAACTACCTCAGAAAACAAACTAATGGTTCAAGAAAAAGCTTTCAAAATAAATGGGTGCCAAAAGGACATAATTCACCGTCTAAGCAGTTTGGTTTGGAGAAAAAAATATATTAACTTCATCTAGTCCTTGGTGCTTTGTAGCAATAAATATTGATTTGATATGAAGAATAGCTATCTACTGTAGTTAATAGTGTTCAGGATACTTTACCTGTTAAAAGAGGGAAAAAGCAACAAAATATGAGCTCCAGGGTTATACGGGTGAGCAGAACCATTGTATGTTAATAGTTTTATTTCATAAAACACCACTCTCCATTGATTTTTCTTTCCTTTCTTTTTTGGAAAGCAGGTGCAATGTTGCTGAGAAAGCATTTCATACCTTTTTTTTTTTAACACTGAGAGAAATATAAAGGATTCCAGCAATACCAAAATTTTTGTTTTTGCTCATATTAAAAAAGGGGGGGGTACACACACACACACACGCGCGCACACACACGCATGCACACGTGCACGCACACTCATGCACGCACGCACACACACACGGAGGTCACCATTCTTAAGGTCTGTGATGTCCCCCCACAGTGCCTCAGTACAGAGGTCCCTTTTCGGTGGTCGGCAACCTGTCGATGCTGTGTGTCAACTGGAGCAGCTCTTTCTCTCTGAACGGCCCTCTGAAGGAGTTCGTGCTCACCGACGGAGGCCAGCGCATGTACAGCGGCGTGGACACCACCCTCTACATACCCAGGACAGCGGACAGAAGTGAGTGTCTGACCCCCTGCTGCTCAGTGGGGAAGGCACTCTGTTCCCCGGCTTGACGGGATGGTCAGTCTGAGAGGTGACCAACAGAGGCTCCCCGCTAACATGTCTTAGTTTAAGTGGCCGCTTCTTGTGGGAAAGTCACTGCTCGGAGTAAATATGGTTTCCGTTCCTATTTGCTGCTTGCTGCACTGCTGTGATGACGTGGGAGGGTGCTGCCTCCGCCTGACTTGAGTTTCCCTAATGGAGGAGCAAGATAGAAGGGCAGACTGGGTTTACAAGAGACATGGCCCCCACAGGCAGTCGGTGTATGTCCCGAGGTCACTTTTAGGGACCTCAGAGGCTTTCCTGATGTGTCCACGGCCTCCAAACAGAGCCGAGCAGACTGCGACCATCTGCTACTTGTGAGGAGCCTGAGTAAGGCTTCTCTTACCTGACTGTTCCTGATTTGACAACCCTTGTCCCTCCAAAACCAAAATCTTTCCCCCATTGAATTCTGTGCCCTGCTAAGATTTGCCTTGTTCGTAAATAGAAATGAGAAAAAGCGTTACAGGGTATTAAGTATTTTCCATGCTCTTGTGTGGCCACAGGGCCAGTGCACGTGAGGCCATTGGAAGCAATCTGGGTTGATAACAATGAATCAATGGGTGATTTTTTTTTTTTAATTTCCTTGAAAATCCGACTTACTTTGGCTAAAAGGCCCAGGTAAACAGTGAGTTCCTGCATTGTGTTTATAGTATTTGAAATGGTATCAACAACGTTTGTACAACAATTCGGCGTTCAGAGTTCATGGTCACCCGGGAAGCTGGTTGTGATGGGAAGATGGCTAGGCAGTTGGGAGACCCAGGCTCTGCCCCTGGCCAGGACTCCCACCATCTGTGTGGACTTCCCTCAGGATACTGAGCTATTTACACCATTTGATTTCCAAGATCCCTTTTGAGCTTTCCTGCTTAGTACGAAACTCTGCATCACTTAGTGAAAGGTGCACCTGGAAGTTTTAAAGGAACAGGTTTAGGCCATATGCAGAACAAGATACGCTGTGTGCATTGTTGCCCTTTCCCCCTCGGATAGTTCTTCTCCTTTGCAATAGAAGCTCTAAGCTTCTTTGGTTCACACACACACACACACACACACATATATATATATATAAAACTACATAACAATATCACTGTATATATATATATAAACCATATATATATAGAGAGATAGTTATATAGTTATTATGCTAATTATAGCTATTTTTCTTGATCAATTTTTTTTTTTAAGTTGAGCCATCCTGCCACCTGTTGGCAGCGCAACGGCTGCTCAGCTCAGGCCGGGCATCGAACCACTGTTGCTCAGAGCTCACACTCTTGAGTGAGCTCTTAACCAACTGAGCCACTCCACCGGCCCTTCTTGATCATTTTAAAATTAAAAATAAGTGTACATATTAGGTGAAACCTCACAGTTTGCCCTAGAATCCTGTTGTCAGACTGTTTCATGCTATGATACGTTGCTCTTCTGAAAGCACACCCGCCATTTGTAGGAGCCGGATGACCGAGCCCCCTGGCCTTTTGTCCAGCCTTCTTTTTCCAGGTCACCTGCACTACGGATGAAGGAAGCGTCAGGACACCTGTGATCCAATACGACGCCTCCACTGGACTTGGTAAACCCCGACCTCGTGTTTTGTTTTGCGTCCCTGCTCATCTCCCTAAAGAACTGGACACACGTTCATTCATACATACTCATGCTAATGCATTAGCATAGGCGATGTGGAAGTTTTGTGTTGAGTTTTGTAAGAAATTTTAAAAAGTCCTCAAGGAACTTACATCAGGCAAAGGGTTTGGATAGACACTTAAATTGCCAAATCATTGAATTGTAGGTTCAGAGAGAGATGACTGAACTTTGGTCAAAGTGCTTTTCTACCCGGCTTTGTAGAAACGCATAGGGCCGGGATTGGAGGAAGAGAGAGAATGCCCCCATGCCAGATCAGGGCCTAAAATGGTGAATTTTGGGGAATTTCTGTCATGTGTCCTCCATAAAAGATGATGATTGGCTGTTAATAGAAGTAATTTAGCTGAAAAGATGAAACTGTAATTTTTTTACAGAGTGTCTTTTAAATTGAGTTCCACCCAGGATCTTTGAATCTAATGTATGTGATACTTGACCGTTTCAAAGGGCGAGTTAGAGAAAGGCTGGCTCTTTTCCACCAGAACAGAATTGGGGCTGATGGCATATGTTAAATTCCAGCAAGTGGTGTTATATCAAATGTGCATGCATATATAGTTGTTCTTTGGTTTTCTGTTTTTGTTTTGTTTTTTTAAATAAACATGTCCAAAAGTTCTGACACACAGGTGAACACACATATTGTTATCAAGGGTGTTTTCAATCTGTAAAAATAGTAACCCATCATATTTCCAGACTTTTCATGCCTGTTGCCTTGTCAAATTTCTTACGACACCTAGCCCCATCCCTCCCTCGTAGTTTACCTCATTTTATTTAATAGCAGCTGTGGGAATAGAGCAGACCCCATTTGATATGCTCTTGGCAACGCCAGTGTCTTCATGAGTGGACACGGGGAAGAACACGCCATACACTTGTTGCTAAGATGCGGACTCGAACGCGGTTTATCTCTTGGCTCCTGGCCCCGTGCTTTTTCTTTAGCAACAGCTCTCAAATTTAAGTGTGCATAAGGCTCATCTCAGCGCATTTATTTATTTGTAGTTTCCCAGAATCGAGGTCAGGGGAGGCGGTGTGGGAACCGCTCTTAAACAAGCCTGTCCCAATGATCCTGGTGCAGGTGGCCAGGCCCCCACGTGGAGCAAGACCCACTGATGGGTGGAGTCCCTTAAAATGAAAGGGGACCCTAAAAAGAAAGGCTTTCCTTGATGTGAGACGACCACCAAGGGGTACACGGTCTTAGAAAATTCTGAGCTGTATTGTCCAACCAATATTCATAGTTGTTTTTTTGTTTGTTTTTTTTAGCTGAGCCATCCTGCCACCTGTTGGCAGCTCAGCAGCAGCTCAGCTCGGGCCGGGAATCGAACCGGCGACCCTGTTGCTCAGAGCTCGCACTCTTGAGTGAGCTCTTAACCAACTGAGCCACTCGGCCGGCCCCATAGTCAGTTTTTTATTATTATTATTTATTTATTATTGTTAGTCTCAGGTGTACAGAACAATGCAGTAGTTATCCTTTTCACCCTTCACACAGAAACAACCCATCTACTGCCCCATAGAGTCGGTTTTAATTTTTATAACTTTTTAAATGTTCTGGTTCCCTTGCCTGAAGGAAGCCTTCAAGCAGGAGAGACAGGCAATGCTGCTTTCCCGTCTGCTGTTCTGAGGGCTGTTTGCTTTTCGGGTGCTCCCTCAGGCAGGCTGCCCTCCACTCCCATCCTCCTGAGCAAGGGCCCCCTGGGACCCTCAGATCAATTTTTGGAGTTGCAGCCCCACGGCACACATACAGGAAACCCAGTTCTTCTAGTGTGTAACCAAGGCTGTTGCTTTCTTTTAATTGAAGAGCACACACTGGTTCCCAATTAGGGGCATTCCGACCCCCTGGGGCCTGGTCAGAGCTGTGACTCCAACTCTTCGTTTTAGAGACAGGCAAGCAGAGGCCAGCCATGCCAAGGGCCCTTTTTAATCACAGAGCCATCGGAAGTCGAGTTAGGGTCCATTCACAGCGTCACGTGCCTCTTCTCATGGGGTTCAGCTCTTAATTTATCGTCTTCTTTCCCTCCCTTAAATGTTCGCACCCTGATTTTGAATGCTTGCTCTTCCGTCCTTCCCCTGAGAATGTGGGTGTCGCTGCCATTCAGGCTAAAAAGGGGGCCGTTCGCCCGAAGAGTGAACAGGCCTCTGTAATCTTGTCCTGCTGTCCTGCCCGCTCTGGGCCATGAGCTGGCGCTTTAGAGCAGCAGCTCCGAAGCTCACAGCCGTGCACCTGCCTGGGTCTCGGGCTTCGAGCTGCCCCAGCGAGGCGCTGGGCCGGAGATGGAGTCTGGGACCCTCTCCTGCTCAGGTCGCCTGACCCCGCCGCCTTACCTTGTCCCACAAGTGGCCCCTGTAAGCCTGTGTCCTGTCTGCCCCGGCTCAGTCCAGCACTCCCCACAGCCACAGGCTCAGTCATTCTGACTCCCCCTCTTCACCCTGTAAAGTCCTTACTTAGCACAGGGCCGGCCCAGGGTGAGGGCTTACTAATAAACATAAGCTGCTTCTATTAGTTTCATGTACAGACAGTCATACCAGCTCAACCCTCGGAACTTGAACAAGGGTAAAGGGTTTCTTTCCACAGGAAGCTCTACCAGGGCCCTCGAGTGGGAATTACAGAGCTTCTGCTGTGGTCCAGGAGGCCAGGGTACAAGAACCGTAGACGGCACAGCAGCCACCACAGGCTCTTCACATCACAGTGGGAAAAGGGGTCTGATGTCCCAAAACCCAGTTTGCACAGATCTTCTCAGGAACTGGGCTGTTGCAAGAAGTGAGGGGGACCCTGGGTCCTCAGAGCATTGGCAGTGGACACAGTGGGTTCCCTGCAGCCATGTCAGTAAGAGCTGGCCCCTCACGAGAGCCCGCTGCCAGAGAGAGGGCTCTGCCCCCGGAACACCAGCTCAGAAGCAGGCGGCGTTCCTCAAGGTTACTTCGTAACCTCCTGTCAAATTCCTCTCTCACCGTCTCCCAGAAACGTGCCAGGCAGCAGTGATTTCCAGCCTGAGGAGTGTCAGCCAGGTCTCCCGAGGGCTGTGAGTTGCTCCTTAAAACTCACCAACACTGCCCCGTCTCCGCAGCCTGCACACACGCGCAGACAAGCACCCCAGGGCCACCTGCTTGACCATCACGATGCTGCCTTCCCAAGTAACGTCTCCCTTCTCTGTCCCTGGTTTTGCAGGCCTGGTCCTGACAACTCCTGGAGAAAAGAAGGGATCTGGGAGCAAAAACACGGAGTTCTACAGCGAACTGTGGTTCATAGTGTTAATGGCCATTCTGGGCTTGATCTTGCTGGCGATTTTTCTCTCCCTGATACTACAAAGAAAAATCCACAAAGAGCCGTATATCAGAGAGAGGCCGCCCTTAGTACCTCTGCAGAAGAGGATGTCTCCACTGAGCGTCTACCCACCTGGGGAGACCCACATGGTATGTCTCTGCGGGCGGGCGGGCCCCAATTCCCTATCACTGCCCTAGGACACTTGCCCTCATTCAGGGGAAATATTTCCAGAGCCATCATGGCAAGGGACTGGGTGACAGTTACGATGGAATAAATGTGGAGCCCTCGGGAGGCTGACTCGAGGACGCATTCGTAACTTTGCCTGCACATTAGAATCACCTAATGAGACAGACTGAATGTCTGTGTCCCCCCTGTTCCCCCATGTGTTAAATCCTAATCCCCATGTGATGGCCTCTGGAGATGGGGCCTCCGGGAGGTGATCAGGTACTGAGGCTCCCCCATCACAGATAAGGGACCTTATAAAAGACGCCCAGAGAGCTCCCTACTCCCTTCCTCCTTGTGAGGGCCCAGTGAGGAGCCCCCCATCTATGAACCATGAAGCAGGCCCCTCCAGGCGAGCTGCCAGAGCCTTGGTCTTGGAATTCCAACTTCCAGAACCTGAGAAATACATTTCGGTGGATTGAAAGGCCCAGTTTATGGATGGTGGTGGTATAGCTTCCGAATAAACTAAGGTGCCCAGCAGGTTGTTTAAAACACCATTGTCTGGGCCTTATCCCAGAGATTCTGGTTTCATTGGCCTTGGGTGGGGCCTGGGGATTCACTTTTTTTTTTTTTAACTCCAAAGTGATTCCAGCGTGTGACCAGGTATGAGCGTTTCTGCCCTGTAGTTAAGTCGGGGGGCCGTGCAGGAGAGTTAGCTAATGAAGTCACCTGGGGAATGCAGAGGCTATGTGTGCAATTTGGGGAGATGAGTAGAGGGGATACAGGGAGGGATTCGGTTTGTCCCCTGGCCGACAGCTTGGGATGGATGGCTCCTCATAGCTCCAGACCCACTCCCAAGAGGTCAGGCAAAGGTCTGGGGGGCGAGGGTCGCACATGAGGTGGTGCAGGGGTCACTGCACAGAGCGCTCCCTGAATGGGTGGAAAGTGACTGAATTGCGTGGTTTGCTCTGCTGTGGGGCCGTGTCTACCCGGAGCAGGAAAAGCTGTGATTTCTAATTCCCACCAGGCACTATCTGCTCCCCCAGTTGAGTGCCCACAGGGATCTCTGCATGTGCCCGAGGCATCACTTTTCTCCCATATGCTCACAGGTTCTCTGTGAGCTAGGGGCGCCCAGTGTGGGGAGTTTCCCCCACAGCAAGTGATTTCTCTGACACCAACCCGCTACCATTCAACTCAGTTCTGACATTGTCTACCCGGAGATAGTGTCAGATCCCACAGGTTAAGGGCTCGGTCCCACAAGACTGCCTCCCCACCCCTAAGCTTCAGATGCCAGTCCAAAGTCCAGGTTGTCGCCTGGGCTTCTGACTGACCAGCTACAGTTGGAGGTTCCCATCACCCCCTTCTCCTTGGGTTTGATTAATTGATAGAGCATCACACAGAACTCAAAAGATTTTACTCACTGGATTGCTGGTTTATTATAAAAGGGTAAACCTCAGGAGCAGCCAGATGGGAGATGCACAGGGCAGGGTGTGGGGAAGGGCACAGAGCTCCCATGCCCTCCGGGCACCCCGCTCTCCTGAATCTTCATGTGTCCTTTTCAGGCTTCATGGAAGCTTCCTTTCATAGGCATGACCGATTAAATCATGGACTATTGGTGATTGATTCAACCTCCAGCCAGGTCAGGGGGTGGGACTCAAAGTTCCAACCTTCTAATCACATGGTTGGTTCTCCTGGCAACCAGCCTGTCCACAGGTGAGGTCCAAAATCACCTCATGAACATATCAAGGGACAACTTTGCTGCTGTCATCACTTAGGGAATTCCAAGGGTTTTAGGAGCTCTGAGCCAGAAATGAGGCTAAAGACCAAATATATTTCTTATTATAAGTCAATATCACAGCAGCACCCAAAAGTGAAGTGAAGACGTCTGGATCAAACTGTTTAAGTGTCAGCACTTAGTGAGTGAAGGGCAGCCAAGTCCGCCTTCCAGAACTTTCCTTTTCCAGGACACAGCGGTGAGCAGTGGTTAAGGCCCTGACCAAGCTGGTGTGCC